TGTCCATTATTGCTACCATAGTACTCACTTCAGCCACCCACTCATTTGAATGACAAATGTGCATTGAGGGCCTGTTATATTCCAGGCTCTGAAGGAACTAGACATAGGCTAGTAAAAGGATTGTGACACATTTCCACTTCTCCAGTAGTTCACAGTGTAGTAAGAGAGTGTCACCTCTGTATAAATTTGTTTATCTATACATCTCTCCTCCCCATACTCCACCTCTATCTCCAGCTATGAGCTCTAGAATGCCAAGACCCTGTCTTGGTCATCTTTAGTTTCCTTTATATTACTTATTACAATTTGTTGCTCATAGTAGGTGTTTAATAAATAATTATTGAATTGAAGAAATATTTTTAATGTATTTTTAAAAATACCAAGGTGTACTAGTGGACTAACACGCAAGATGGTTTTTCTCATAATGTTTCTCTGGTTACATTTAACAGCAAGTTAAAATTAGATCCTTTTCTTTTTTTTTTTAAGAAAGAAAACCATAGCAACTGTGATGTTGAATGTTTCAGAGAGCACATTTTTAAGGATTTTCTTTTTCTGAATTGCCTATGTTTGAGGTGCCTATTTTAATCGAAATTCTAATAAATAATTTGTAGTACTAATAGCCATATAAACCACTGATTGTATTGGTGAAGCAATGGAAACTAACACATAGAACAGAATGCTTGATAAAATGCTTGAAGAAAAAAATTAATGTGTTGAAAATTCACTGGATATATTTAAATGGTTACTCCCTGGAAATGGTTGAACATTAACCTCTCTTTGTTTCTTATACCTGTATTTAGTATAAAACCTTGGAAATTGTTCTAATGTTTCATATAAATATTTGCCAGAGATCTTTTTTTTTTAAGGCATGTCTCTATGAGGAAATCAATTTTACAATGCTGTCTTCTAAATTAAACAATGGGCATTTTTACAGAATGTTATCAGTGAATACTTCTTTGACATATATAATGATTGTCTAATAGTTTTCTCTAAAAGTATTTTTATTGAAGTAATGATTAAAGTATAACTTAGTGCCTCAGGAACACTGACTAATGTCATGTTAATCAACTTGACTATTAAAAACATGAAGAGGTTGATAGTTTAAATCTAGTTGGTACATGATTCACTCGAACTATCAAAGAAGAAAATGTACTTTATACAGGGCCAAATTTAAAATAAAATTTTTAAAAACTAGCAAAACATCTCAAAAACAACTTTTGCACAGTTACAGGCCATATCTTTATAAAAATCTAATTTTGTTTCTCTTAAAATGTGTAAATTAGCCTTTGACTCACAGCATCCATATTGATCAACATCTATTGAATGCTTACTCTGTGCAAAGCACCAAACTAATGTCAAGATAAGTAAAGCATATTTCGCCTTTAGGGAGCTTATTGGGAGAAATAAGTCATTCATGCATAACTGCAATGTAGAAAATAAGTGGTTTAAATACCATAGGTATTCTGAGGTGGGAGAGATGGATAACTTCTAGCTAGGTTTGGACAAGTAGAATGAGGTGGGAACAGTAAGATGGAGAACTCTTAGCAGGCCTAGAAACCAGTATCTTTTGGAAGTAACAAGAAGTTCAACTTGACTTCAGAGCAGTTTATAGAAGAAGTGCTAAATAAGTCTGGAAATATGCACTGGCCTAGGTGGTGAAAGGCCTTGAATTCCAGATTATTTGAGTGGAATTTTATAATTTTTTTAAAAAAGTTGTAAGGGAGCAGTTGCATAACCCTTCTGTAGATATGCAACAATTTTTATAAAGAACAGGCTCTAAATCTGAAGATGAAGTCACCTGATTTGTAACCAACATTGATAAATATTGATTGGGTTCAGCCATACTTTTTCAGCCTGCACATTTAGGCCGCTTTTAGACATTAGGATATTTATTCTGGGTTTTTAAGGGGGCCTGAATTGTTTCTTGTCTAAATTTGGAATAATTAATCTTCCAGGTGTTTGAAAACTAAACATCTGCCCTCAAACTTACTCCTTCTGAGTTCTCTGTGTACCATGTACACTTTTCCCTCCTTTATTATTGTTTCTTATACAAAACTCATGATTATGATTTCTATAAATAGTTTAAGGACTGATGCAGAAAATACTCAGATGCCTATTTCTTAAAAACAATAAAACCTTCCTTCTTGAAATGAAAAAGGACTTGGGAGGGAAGATTGGAGTGGGGAATTTGAAGGAAAAAATGGATAGAGGGAGGAAGAGAGAGCAGGGTGGGGCAGGGAGAGAAAGGGAGGGAGAGCAATTATCTTCTAGAAGAAATGGTCATAAAGATAAATTTATACATGTATATTTTTCTAGAAATGTGAAATAAATGCAGAAGAAATAGGTAATGCTGCTATAGATGCCAAAAATGTTACTAACTACAACCAACTATAGATATTCTGATACATTTTAATGATTGATTCTTGAAAGTGGAGAGTTTAGAAAAGATACCTGGGAGATACCATGAAAATTTTGGAGTAGATCCCAGCAATTCCTGTTTATATTTTGCAGTCTTTTGTAAGAATGAATATGAATCCTTAAGATCAAATATTTGGAGCTTTAAACTAGTTTCAACGGCCTCACATCTCTTTTGCTTCACAGATAGCATTATACCAAGAGGGGAACATAAATATAATTTCTATAGTATTTGTAAGAATCCATCTTTATTTGGAACTTAGCCACATTGTGTTTTATAAATTTTACTGAAAATTTCATAGAACATTTAAAAAACCATTTAGTGCATATGTGGGGTGTCAGAGTTGTGCTACTTCCATTTCTGCATCTCCTCTATTGAAAGAAATACTAGTATAGCTGTGTCTCCCTAGTGTCCATCCACCAGAGATCCTAATTCAAGGACCAAAGTTAACCTTTTCTCAACCCAAATCCTATATGGTATAAGAGCAAATATAAGCTAGAGTGATGGCTAAGACAGTTTTCCCCTCACCACTCTGACTAGCCACATCAGTGGTCCAAAAAAATGTATTAGATGCCAGCCATAATTCTAAGAGAAGAAAAGAAAACAGAGCCTTGCAAAAAGTAATGTTGTGTTGATGGGTCCTGTGATTCCCAGTCATGGTTATTTTCTTCAATATTGAGAATAATACAGACTGGCAAAAATTTTATTTTTTTTAGGTATTTTCCCCGATAGACATACAACTCTAATATGTCAGTATAAATCATTGGGAAAATATTCTAATATTAAACTTTTGCAAATTAACATCCAAGACTGCTATTATTGGAATTATTGAAACTTGATCTTTCCTATGAGATCTGGAACATCACAGTAGGGTTTTTGATATGTCCATGTTTGACCTAAGCCCTTTCTGGTGACACAAATGTACAATGGTAGAGGGAGAAAAGTGCCTCAAGGCTACAGCCATATATACAGTTTTGTTTCCTCCTTCATTTTCCCTAAGAATTACCAGGTCATGGGCACCTGGGTGGCTCAGTTGGTTAAGCGTCTGCCTTCGGCTCAGGTCATCACCCTGGAATCCCAGAATGGAGCCCCACATCAGGCTCCCTGCTCAGTGGGGAGTCTGCTTCTCCCTCTGCCTTTCACCCTGCTCGTGCTCTCTCACCCCTCTTGTGTGCTCTGGCTCTCACTCTCACTTTCTCAAATAAATAAATAAAATCTTAAAAAAAAAAAAAGAATTACGGGGTCAAAATTCAGGATGTTTTAAAGGTTTTCTATAAGCAAACTGCTGTCTTTCAAACAAACAAGTAAACAACTTCAATAAAATCATAAGTTTTGAGAAGCTACTCAAGACTTTATCTTCAGTCCGGTACTGTCCTTGTGGTAGATGAGAAGAAGCAAGAAAGTTAGCTTTTATGTCATTGTTATCCTATTGTCATCCTCAGCCCTTCTTGCATTTTCTCTCTGTGTTCTGATGTAAGTCTGCCATTAGCTGCAAAGAATAACACGCTAATAGAGGAAGAGAGTGGAGAAGGCTAGGAGTAGTGAGTGGAAGTCTTAGGGAGGAAATAGCAATCCAGGTTGTATTATACAGAGATTAGAAAAACTAATGACCAACAGCATGATATGGGTAAGTAACTTAACCTCTCTATCTATTAGTTTCTTTGGAAAATGTGGTTCTTATTCCTATATGCCCTACAGAGTTGTTTCTAGGACAAAAGCTGATGGGTAAAAGAGTCTTTAAAAAATAGGGACCAACCATACTACATAATTATTAAATCTTAGGACATTTTATATTTTGAAATTAATCTAGCATCAGAGATAGTATATAGTATGCCTTTGAATCAAAAGACCATTGGTTATTACATTTTTTGAACAGTAATGATTTAAGAAAATGTCTCATCGTTATGTAAGTACAGCATTGATACCATTGCTACAAAAATATTAATACAGTAGACTCAAGATGAATAAGTGGCTCCACATTAATGTGAGGTTGAAGGTCATGTTCTTCTGCTATCAAATCAGTTCTGAATAATAGTTATCTTTAAAGCTGTTTAAACTTGAGATTTTCATTACTAATAGAAGAAATAAATAGAGGAAACATTGTACTTACAACATTTCTAGAAGCTTTTCAAAGGAAGCAGCTGTGGTTTCTTTAGCCTCCCAAGTCTATTATGCAGGTTAGCAGTGTTTTATAATGAGTTCTAGACCACCTGCCTTTCCAAGGAAATTAATATTGAGATGGATTTTTTTGTCTTTTTTTGTCCTCAGTGCCTATGTATAAGGTTTTCCTATTCAGTGAGTTTGGACACCCCATAAAAATGTTCATTCAGTGTTGTTCAGCTATAGATTATTATTTGTAAAGACATTGTCTAAATGTGTTTTCAACAAATCCTTGGTGAGTTTTGAGATTGAAACATACACTTCTCTAGTAAAACTGTCGGCAGATAATGTACATAGAGTTTTACATTAAGGTAATAAATTCCCATAATGAATAAAAAAAGTGTTTCAAATTAATTTGACTGTAGTTTTAAACCACTGGAACTTCAAAATGTTGTTTTAATTATTTTTCTTCTTCTCACCCTTACAGGAGTTTCAGGGGGGGGAATCAATGGATTCAGGAAGCAGTAGGAATTTGGAGACTACAGTGAATAGGGTCTGTCCTGATCAGCTTGTTCCAAAGATAAACACAAGCAAGAAAATGTCTACCTTAGCAAACCAACCAAGCATCCTGGAAATGTCACAAGAGGTTAAGAAAAGCTGTGGAGATAAACAGGTAGAAATCACAGTTGAAAGAATAAAAATGGTGAAGAGCATCAAAGAAAAACAAAGTAATGGTTTAGAGAAAGTGGCCTTTAAAAGGAAGGCAGAAAATGAAGAAAAGCCAGCTGGAAAGAAAGAGGCAAAGATAACAGAACTTGACAGCACATTGATCACCATGCCTCTGCCTCACATTCCCTTAAAAAACATCATGGATGTGGAGGTGAAGTTGGTCTACATCGATGAAGAGGATGTGAGCTATGAGTTTGTAGAGTCCATCATGTCCACTGGGATTCGACCAACGTGCCGAGCTGCTGAAATAGTAGACCCTTTGCATGTACCTAATTTCAGCTTTCTGCCTCAGATTGACAAATGGCTTCAGGTAGCCTTAAAGGATGCTAGCTCTTGCTACAGACAGAAGAAATACGCAGTGGCAGCCGGACAGTTCAGAACAGCATTGGAGGTACGGGATTAAAGAATATATAGATTGGTGAGAGGAAAGTGTGAAATGGAAAGTGTGATTACATTGAGCAGCTCTGATCATACTAATAAACAGTGATCATAGAGTGAAAATATTGAATGATATCAGGATTATACAATCGCCAGTTTATATAAAGCAAGTAAGATACACCTGCAAATTATATGTCTGTGTGCACCTGACATATAGAAATCACCCCAAAAGCATACCTCATGCTTTTTCTCTGTTAACAAATGCTACAGTGAATGGTAACATATAAAAATGTGGTTGGTTTTGTAATTTAGGTGTATACCTATAAAAGCCATAAAGTTTTAGTACAGTGGTTGGGGGTAGAATATAGATTCTCTCTCTATAATGAGTATATGAATTTTCCCCTTCTGATATGTAATGTTCATAATTAAATGCAACCATCTTTACTGTTTAGCATGGGCTGATAATTTGTGCCTGATATTTATTGAAAACAAAATAACACCATTTTACTTTATCATCAAACTTCACTTTCCTTCCCATCGTAGTGAGCTTTATAAATAATTATTTTTCTCTCTGCAAGCAGGTAAATTGGTCAGTATTGTTTATGACATAAAGAAATAGCCCATGGACTAAAATAAACTTGGGAATCACCACTAAAACATAAAATAGGTAGTGGGAAAAATTGTTCCATCTTATGACTCACTGAATCTATAAAAGGACCAAAGTGGGTCACTAAAAGTCATACTGACCTGACAATATTGGTTACTGCATATTTCATTAATTACAAAAAAACTTTTCTTCAATGCTTTCTATATGTGCTTGGTGGTTCCTGGAGAAAGAAAAACATGAGTTAGAATGTGGTCCTTTCCCCCTAACAATCTGGTGAGGGAGGCAAACCAGTAAACAGTTAAATAGAGATAGCGTAAAGGCGTAATGGATCCACCATGAGACAGAGGCATGAGCAGGAGTTAAGTGTGAGATATTTGTAGTAGAGATTTAAAGAGTAAAGTATTATTTCCACTGTTACTTGAAAGTTAAAATTACTATATCCACAATGAATTATTAATGGATAATGCCAGACAATGGTGTCCCTAAATATTTAAAAAAAAACTCGAAACACAGAAAAGGAGACACAAAGAGATATGAAGTGATGAAGTAGTGCACAAATGGATGCATCTATAAATACTTCTGTCCTCACAAAGGGTTGTCTATGCAAAGAAGGGAAGAGTGATGCATTATGTAAACTTGTGAGCTATGTAGAAAGTGCCAAAAAATTATCCACAAACCACTGAGAGTCCTATGCTGTCCTTTGAGCTAAAGACCAGAAGCCTCTGGCTGAGGAAAGAATGCTAAAGAAAGGCTCCAGGAAGAACTCCGAGATCTTCTACTAAGGCCATTTTCTGCTGAAAAAGTTTTTTAGGGTGGGGGACCAGGGTTAAAGGTATAATTTTAAAGATGAAGAAAAAATAATCATTTTGGAAATGAAAAAAAGAAAAGCATAAAATAAGAAAGGATATAAATTTCAAATTAAGTCTAGGTAGAAGCAAAAACTGTCTGTATTAACTGGAAGAAAATATCTGTTTTTTCCATAAAACCCAATGTTCAAAATTATAAAATTTGAGTCTGGTTTTAATAACCCCGAGATATTACTGTACTAGAAAATATTTTTGTTCTGACTCTCTCTTGTGTTCTGTCTCTCTCTCTTTTTCTCTCTCTCCCTCTTTCCTCCACCTCTCTCCACTCCTCCCCCACCCCCCAGCAAAGGTTTTTAGGAAAGTGTTGGATGCTGACACTAATTACTGGTAATTAACAAAGGTAATTATTTTGAGACCAAAACTTAGCTTAGACATCTGGCCTAGCTTTTGTCTAATTATCTTGGGAGTTAACTTTGAAATTTTACCTAGAATATCTCTGAATAAACCAGAGCTGCTGGGAATAGAAAAGATTTTTAACCTCTTTAATCCTTTCTTCTCATAAATTTAACTTTTTCAATACTGGCTGTTTATAGGTATTATTTAATGCATCTCTCGCTTTTCATTAGGTCCTAACATACCTTAAAGTAGGGTAGAATGGATGACAGAGACCAAGGCATAATGTTAAGGATCACACCTGAAAGACAGATGCATCAGTAAATATTTGAGTATATGTAAGCTAGGATTAGGTTTGGCTGCAAGTGACAGAAAACCCAAAATAACAGTGTCTAAAGCAAGGGAGGATTTGTTTTTGTTTTTGTTTTTTTCCACATAAATGTAGGTAGTCAAATGCTGGTATGGTATGATCATCAGAGCTCCAGATTCTACTTTGTTCCTCAAGATGTGGCTTTGACGTCATGATCCAAAATGGCAGCTCCTATTGGTGTCTGAGCACAATTCACAGAGGCTGCACACACCATTCCCATTTTTTTTCCATTGACGCAAATTTAGTAATGTGGCCACACCACCCTACAAGAGAGGCTGAAAACTGTGGTCTTTATTCTGGATGGCCCTAATATTCAGGGGTTGTGTTAATAAGAAGAAGAGAATGGATATTGAAGGATAACTAGCAACTTTCCCATAGAGTGCTTATTACTTGGAAGTCCTCGTGAGGATATAGAATGCTTGCTAAATGGGTGGTACAAAGTCGGCTATAGTAGTTCACAGAACACTGGTTGTGGTTAAAGATAGAACCACAGAAAAGAAACAAAAAAACTGGGAAAAGGCTCTGAAGATTAATTGACATAACAATTTTCAATGTTTCTAATAACCCCATTAGAAATATTCTACTTAGATGTTAGTTTCCTTGTACTATTGACAAATTATTAGCTCCTTTTGTTTTCATAACATGGTCACTAACTAGGCAGGTAAATTTATGCAAATATTTTAGAATGATTAAGATAAAATGGTAAGCAATGATTCAGAAGACAACAATTTAGCTTCCAAAAAGCAGTCAACTTCAATCTTTTAGGATTTCAGGACACAGGAAGCATTTATTTAAATGGGCTTGATGAAATAATTTATTTTTTATGCTTTACTTATACTATATAAAGTTGAACCAGTTATGGTTCAACTCTGTGAACAACTCATCCATTTTTGTTAAGTTTTATTAAAATTAGTCATTATTTGCTCTTGGGTTTGTATTCACATCAGAAGACATACCAATAGGGCAAAAGTTATAAGCTGAAGGTAAAAACACATTCATATTAAATCACATTTGTGTACACGGATCCTTAATTTTTAAAGGACAATTTTTTTTTCTAAAGTGATCAAAGACCGATGATAAAGCGCACAGGAAATCATTTTGATAAAACATAAATCTTTGCTTTATAGGCAGATTACTTAAAAGGTAAAGAAGGAAAACCTTTCACAATCTCTTATCAGGAGCAGACCAACAGTCCAAGAAAACTGTCCTTCTGGCAGATGAAAAATATTAAGTTCTAGTTTTTCTTAAGGATAAATACATTGATCATATCAAAGCTTATTTAAAAAACTTATAAATTTATTTAATTTTATCCAACTTGATCACACAGAAAATTACTTTCCCAAGGTTCCTTTTCCTTAATCTTTCTAAAACTTTTTTAGATTCAGACTTTTTCCTATTTTTTTCCTTCTTTTCTACCTCTCTTTAGGGTAAAATTACTCTTTTTCCTCAACAAAAATGCATCTCCATTCCTCACTGAAAACACACATCCTACTTTCCCTACCCTTATTATTTCTAGTAGTTTTAATTATATATTAGAATTTTTCACCCTTTAAAACTTTAATCTTAGTAAAAACTAAGTAAGCAATTGTGAACTGTTACATCAGCATTCTTCAGATTGGCAAATTTACATTTTATGATTTCTAGAGACATATGCTTCCTTAGAGTACAATTTATTCAATGTGGCATAAAATATGTTTACTGATAGATCCAAATATCTTTAGTTCCTTTGTAAAAAGGAAACCAAAAGAGGATAAACCTATGTTTAGTAATTAATGTTTCTATTTTGTCTTATTTGGAAATGATCTGGGTATTTAATGAATTTAACTTAACTCATCATTGAACGTTTAGCAAAATTTTCAGCTTTCAGGTTACTATAAAGATTTGGGGAAACTATTTGAAAAGTTCACCTAACAACTTTTTATCCTACCTGACATAGGAAAGATGTTAAAAGTTTGAAGCTGATGGCCAAGAAACAATTCTTGAGACATCTTTGGTGCACAAAGGTGGTTTCATTAAAGCATGGGGACAGGACCCGTGGGCAGAAAGAACTGCACTGGGGTCATGAGGAGTGGCCCATTATATACTTTCAAGTTGGGAGGGGGTTAGGGGTAGTATAAGCCTCCCAGGTATTTTTGGAAGTAGGGTTTCCAGGATCCTGAGGGGGCTAGCTATTGTTAGGAAAGGTCATTTATTACTGTTTAGTCATGAGACCCTTCAGATGTATGTTGGTGGGTCATCTATTGGGGGATGATCGCCAAGACATATATTGGGTGGGGGGGTGTAGAGATAAAGGAAGTTTCCAAAGGAATTTTTATATGTTAAGGTAGACTTACAGGATCCTGGGGGTTGGGCTAAGATTTCCTTTTGCCCTTAGCAAAGTATCAACATCCAGGCAGTTGAGTCCCTAGAGGAATGTCACTCTGCCTGTTTCAAGGACTATAGGTAGTAAGGAAATTTAATAATTTTTCTTTTGCCCTTGTTTCCCGCATCACTACCTACATGTATTTAATTTACTTGTTCTTAACAATTATGTTTAGATTACCCACAAAAATTTCATAAGACATTAGACAAAGTCAGTCATCCTAAGTTATTTTTTTGGCCAACACATTTTAATAGAGATAATAAGAACTTATTTAATTAGTAAACCCAGGTAGAATAAAAGTTTTATGTTTAATGCTAATAACACTAAAGATATGCCTTAAACTAACTTTTATGTACTAGAGATTATAACTCTAATAACTTTAATTTGCCTTAGATTAGCTTTTATTTACTAAAGATTAATCCTAGATCATGTGAACTTAAAAATCATTTGGGTTAAATTTTTATATTTCTGAGAG